GAGGAATGAGATTCGTGTTTAGGCAAATCTACATTTATTGGATCAATCCGTTGATTCATCCTCTTGGTGGATCCAGAGATGGATTTTGGGATGGGGGTTTATACAGTTGATATATAAACACCAAAAAAGTTCTTGTCAAGAAACCTAAGCTTAGAATTCAGAATATCACTAGAGGACTGTTTGATTTTATAATATTGTTTGGGCTTTTGTATAATTGATATAAAAAAAGTTATGCAGTCAACAAAACTGAGCTGGTTCTTCGTTGTTTTATTTGTACTAAAAGAACATTTTTTTCTAACCATTTGCGTGGGGGGCCATCGCCCCCATCGCCCCCCTAGAGCCGCGCCTGCTTTTGGCGTAAGGGGTTATTTATTTCCAACCTATAAATAATTTAAAAAGTAATGGTCCAATTGTTTATAAATTTCGCAAATACAAAAGTGGTTCCTTGCTCTTTTCACTGAAATATAGAAATTTAAGTTTCGTTAAAAATTATTAAACACACATTTGTTAAGAACTTACAGATTTTAAATTGATATTTCATTATCATTTTATCTAGGTATTACATGCTTTTAAGAAAATTTACTTTGATCCGAAATTTTTCCTACAGTTATTGTAATGCTGTGACACAACATAACAGGTAGGAAAAGGCAATACCTGTTAATTTCTGTTAAAAGGGATTAGTAAAATTAATTATTCTTTGATTTGGCTAAAAAATTTCCAAGAATAAAAGACAGACTTATTACTATTGCAAACGTAATATAATTTTAATATCTTTTTTTTTGATAATATTTAGTATAGTTTTTTACTTACCTATGTATATTTTTTAACAGTTTCATAAATATTTATTGTTATTGCAGCATTCTAATTGAAATTTCCGACAAGGAAAATTAAATACAGGGGAAAAACTCGGCTCGTACTTTTTTTTATTAAATTAATTATATAATTGGTGATTCAGAACATATAAAGTTTTAAGGTATAAATGTTGTAGATACTTTTAAAATACCGTGTTGTAATTCTATCACCTTTTTATTAATAACGTCATTATCTCATAAGTTTGATGAAAATGGCGTACCTACAAATCGAATAAAGAGTTTTATCATCAGATAAAAACGTATGTGTAATGTTAACAAATTACTGTTACAGCTCGCATTAACTTTCATTGCAAATTAGCACCAAATAAAATACAATAAGTACATATTTATGTTATCTAGTACATTAGTATCCTGTGACAACAAGGCTATCCCATAGTATCAGCAATTTGTTAATTGCATTTTATTTTTGAATCCTATAAAAGAAAATGATCTTACCCTGAATATTAACAAGTTAAAAAATGATTCAGCTAGTGGATATCATGGAATATTTTTGTAAAAAAAATCTGTATGTGCATACATTTGCTAAAGCCTATGTCCCATTTAAATAATTAAGTAATATTAAATGGGAAAATACCTAAGCAATCGTAAGAATCTCTCGTTACACCTGTTTTTAAGTCGGGTGACAATAAATTACCCCAAATTATCGACTTATAACCATTATAAATATTTTCTCGAAATTATCTGAACATTGTGTGAAATCTACATAATAATTAAACCGCTTCATAAAGAATATTGTATTATCTAAAAATCATTTTGGTTTTGGGAATAATTTATCAACAGAAAAAGCAGTTTTAACTAAAGGTACCTAATTAGAAATGAAATAAAAGTGTTCCTTGATTTATAAAAACTGGTATTAGCGTTACGTTTTTGGAAATGTTTATGTATCCCATGTATCCGATAGGAATGAATGCTTATGATTTATACATATAAATGATTTATTAATATTTCAAGTAAAAGGTCAAAAGGTGGCACAAAACCTTACACAGAAGACACTGCTATTGTATTTGTGGGTAACCCATGGAATAAACTATAAACTAGTGCAATAAGCATTATATACCATATATAAATTTTTGGTAGAATTAGTTTTAACTTTATTAAGTTAATTTAAGTGATGAAAGATTCTTTATGGCTTTGCGAAACAGGTATACAAAAGAACAAATAATGTTTGTTCTTTTTTGTGGCAAATCTCTCATGCTGCGTTTATTTACTGTGGTCTAAAACTGTTCAATATTTTTATTATCTTTAAATATGAAACAAATACAAATAGATGAATCTAAAAATTGACAAAAAAAAATAATTAAGAGGGGGTTGAAAAAATTTGTATGATTTTATAATTTTTGTGAAATCTTATTTAGTTATTTATCTTTTCTATCAATTTTATTTATTAGCTCTACATAATTAATCTGTTTAGGAGTCTCATTAAAAAATTTTTTATTAAATTGTTACCTATATCTGTTTTATCTTAGCATGTCCACGAACTGAATATTGAATTGATTTAAATTTATCAAAGCATTCTTGACCAAAAATTTGTTCCATTAATAAAAAGAACATACATCAACTAAGAACATTTTTCGGAATGTGTTCTTATTAATGTTTTTTATTTCTACTTGTTTTTTATGTATTTTAGTTGAATTGGCAAAAATAAATTTATATAATCGTTTATAATAATAATAATAATAACAATATTTATTTGACATTTTACAATGTATAGAATAGGAAGTCAGAAAAACAGTGTATAAATGACGATTTACACAGGAGTACAGTATGACAAATATACCTACAAGACTTACAATTAAATACAGAATCTAAAAAATATTCATGTAAACTACTTATAGAAAAAATTTGTCGACAAAAGTTTATTGCTTTTACCTTTAAAAGGTTTATGTTAGGGATTACAAATAGAATAAATTCGGAGCGTGTTTCTCTAATTTGGGGGTCCCACAAGGCTCGATATTGGGTCCCAATTGTTTTTGCATAGGTACATATAAAACCAGACAATAGAATATTTTTTGTATGCCTTAGGTATAGTAATTTTAATGTGTATGTTAAGTCCCATTTTCCTGTTTGGACTCAGGGCGTTCAATAACTTTCCACTGGAAATAAAAACAATTGAAAATCTTGCTAGGTTATATCTAGGTTAAAATATTATTTAATTGACAAATGTAGATATAACATTACTGAATTCTTTTATTATTTCTCGTTTTTTATTTTTTCTTTTATTGACTATTCCCGTTCTTTATTATAAAGTCTCTAAGGAAAGTAAAGGTTATTTATCTATTTATACAATTTTTTTATTGACGTGGAAAGATGATTAAGTATATCAAATTTAACTCTTCTATGCTTACGTAACACTAATAGGAATAGGTTTGTATTTCCTGTCTCATGATTATCCAATTCGGAACTCGCACAAAATGTATTCAAGTTATCCTTAATATACTACAAACATTGATAAATACAGATACAAGGAAAAAAGTCACAATTTTATTCTTAATAAACGTGGTAGACAAGAATCTCTAAACCCACTCTAAATATATTCTTATAATCTTTTTTTCACATGTAAATACACTGACACTATCAGTGTTGTTTCCCCACAAAATTACATTATATTCCAGATGACTATGGACCAGTCTGGACCAGTATGAACTATATAGGTAGGAGCTGCTTGATTTTAGAAATTGTGCAATAAATTAAAACCGTCTGGGATTATTATCATTGTACAATCCAAAAAATTTTATAAACTTGATGGAGGTTGTTTGGGTATTACCAACCAAAAATTTAAGAGAAAGCTCACGATTTATATTTAAGAATTGAAATTTGATATATTCAGTCTTTTGTCAGTTAACTATTAGTCAATTTCTTCACATCAATTTACAAAACGCAAGATCTTTAGTAAACATAAGGAGTTCATCATGGTTTGTGACATCACTGTACATACAAGTGTCGCTGGTAAAAAGAGTAATAACATCTGTATTAATATTTTCAGATAAATCATTTATAAAAAGAATGAAAAGCAATGGTCCCAGTACAGGTTCCTGGGGAACTCCACTGTTAGTATTAACCAGCTCAGAAATGTGATTTTGAATTTTACTGACATTGTCCTATAAGATAGATAATTTGTTACCCAATCACGAAATAATTCCCGAAAGCCCAGATTAAGCAATTTACGTTTGTTAAATTGAATGTTTAAATAATCAAACGAGCTAGACAAATCAAAAAACAAACCCGCCACATGTTTCCTGTACGAATTCTGAGGGTTACTAATTACATTGTATTTAAGTACCTATATAAAAACTCCTCTAGAATTCACGATTTTTCAAAAGTTTTAGAAAACGCGCTCAGAATAGATATAGATCTATAATTAGCTGCTATTTCAATATCACCCTTTTTATAATAATATAAACGTTTCGTCGATTTGTACTGACATCCTAAAGACTACATTTACCAAACTGTAAGGCTAGATTTACAAATTGTTTTTAAAACCCAGGAAAACGACAAGAAAGAGTAAGAAAACTATTACGCAGATATCAAGATTAAAGAAATAAAGACGCATATCGAGGTACTATAATTTAATATGCATGGTGAATATGGACACGTCACTATATCATAATAGCAATTTCTCCCTCGCGGTAGAACTAATTACAGCGATATTATACAGTAATAAATAATGAAAACCAATCACGCGAAAGACAATTTCCATAAAATTACATTCTCTTATCATTATTAATAACACCTTAATAAATAAATACTCAAACAAAATTAAAATAATATCACATTCGATAATATAATAATGAAACACCTGATTATCTTCCAAACAGTTAATCTTATTTTAATAAACATACTATCATGTATTTCATTAGCTGTTAACATAATAAAAACTATCATAATTTGGGCGCATTAATCTAGTCGGCGTGGTTATTCAAACGGTACGCAGGCGTATCCGAAGCCGAAAGCTCCGCTCCCATCCGATTGGCCGGTGAGCGGGTGAGGGCAGACTCTACGGGTCCCTCGATATACCCTACATAAGTGGTAGAAGTTGCCAGTTCGCTAGTTGGCGTCAACAGTTCAGTTAGCATAGTCGTCGTGTCATTTGTTTGCATAGTTGGACTGATCAAGTGGTGTTAAGTGAAGATGTCTCAGCCGCAAGTCACCTCCGAAGAAGTCAAGCCACGTGCGGTGTATAGTATTGACCAAATTCTGGGAGTAAACAGTAGTTCTTCCTGCTCCTCCAAAAGTGTTGAGGGTAAGTCGAAGAATTTTCTTTAAAATTAGTTAATACCGACTTTGACTCTTGAATTTTCCTAAATTTTTTGGAGGAAATAACAAAACGTTAATCCGTAAATTTTTTTGAAATTGGATGGGATGTATTTGTTTTTAAAAATCATTTCTTGGACCAATATTTTTACATTTTCAATAGTGCAGTAGTTTTATTTCAACATAATCTTTGGATATACTTAACTGGTAATGGTCAATATAGAAACAGCACCATTTCCTTCAAAATTACAATTTGAAGCAGATCTTGACTTTATTGTTTATATTTTTTGATGATACTAAATCGCTGGTGGATACAGAATTGATTGCATTGAAATTGAAGTCATTGGGAGTCGTTTTGTCAATGTTAAGCTTTACTCTTGCAATATTTAAAGGACGTCCGACCTTTCAAAGAAATCTCTTTCGGTTCACATGGGCTTTGCTTTGTAGGAAACAAATAAGCATTAAAATCTATCAATTAATCCCCTGTAAAAACGGCTTAGCAGCTTTTTAGGATAGGAACATTTGTATGATATTCAATGAGGGATAACTGTTGGCAAATTAACATAGGGGAGGATTTAAATTGATGAAACGAAGTTATATACGAGGGGTTATTTTCAAGAGCCACTTACCTGGTAATTTATATGCCTATTGTTCGGCCAGAGCTCGTAGAGCGTAGTTAAAATGTTAAAGCTCGATGAATTTCGATCCCCTGTATAGAAGCAGTCTTTAATTTTTAAGGTCACACATTTAAAAGTCGTTAAATAGTTGTCGGGATGATTATTTAATTTAGATAGTATTGGAATAACGAGGGGAAATATGTCGTGATTTGGAAAGCTACTCTTGAAAGGTGGAAAATTTGATTTTAATGTTAGGTTTAATTGAGTTTTGTACGAGCTGCTTTATGTAGTCTTAATATGTGGAGATTTAAGCACGACTGCAATGTGCAAGCAAATATATTTTAAATTTCAATAATAAAAGTAATCCTCTTAAAACCGCTCTGAATATATTTATCTGCAAATGTTAGCGGGAAAGCGAGGTCCGTCTATACAGTTTTTGTAAGCGAATTTCTCCGGTATTAAATCATTTTATTTTGACGTTTTAGCGCGGACCGAACTCGTACCCAAATCATATTACGTCAGTAATTTAACGTTTAGCGATGAATAAATCGACGATTCTCTTTTGTCCGGCACACAGCCAACTTTACATATTTGGTATTCATAGACTTACCCTATGCGTTTAAATGCTTTGATACAACCATAGCGCACGAATTCGTTTATGTAAATTGAATGCTAATCCAACTTCGGCTTGTAGTTAGTCGTTATTAATTTAACTTTCCACATGTTTTACATAATATCTCAATTTGCGGACGGCCGCAAAGATTACGAGTTACATGTTGTGTTGGTTTGTAGAGTCCGACGCCATGAAAGGGGACGTCGCTAGCGAGGGCGAGATGGCAGACGAGAGTCTGGAGGACCTGGGGGACTCGAGGCCGAGGAAGATAAGACGGTCGAGGACGACGTTCACTACGTACCAGTTACACCAGCTAGAGAGGGCCTTCGAGAAGACCCAGTATCCCGACGTCTTCACCAGGGAAGAGCTGGCCATGAGACTGGACCTCAGCGAAGCCAGAGTACAGGTAAATACGCAATTAAAAAAAATGTCTTGTGTTCGGTTAGCGTAATTGGCGTCGTTGGGAAAAATTAAAATGGGAAGTTGTTGACGAGAAAAGCCACCATTAGGTTCTTTACCAATTTGGTAATGCAGGAATTCCTTTGGACCATTTAGCACGAGTTGGTAATCACCGCACTCTGAAATGTCCTCATTGTGTGGAACATTCGAAGCGAGTTAACGCCGAGACGGAGGGATATGAAATAATTGAGGATAATTGCCTTTTAAAAAATTACGTAGTAGCGTTATTAATTTGGCCGTATCACGTAGTGCTCGCAATTACTGTTACTCCCAGTACGATTGGGTTATTGAATCGGTAATGCAGGATAATGACGGACATGAATTGCATCTTAATTGGTAACAATTTGGGTAATTAATATGGCTTGTGACGGAGTAAGTAGCAACGCAATTGGCCATTGTTCGCCACAATGGAGGTAATCGGAACTGGTTCCGGACCCCAGGACTCTCTCTGATGTCTCATTTAAAGTGCCTCCTCGTTTTGTGTCACGGATAAAATGATGGAAAGCTGTCTCTTTTATAATTGCCCTTTTAACATCGATTCAGTTGGATAAGCTCCACTACGCACACAACAAAAGTTTCGCTACTTCAGCTTGCGCCCCTTCGTATCGCCCGAACCTACTTAAGGCCCATTCTCAACGTATAAACAGTGTGTTGCTAGGCGGCGATACTTTTTTTTATCACAGGGCGATCCGTAATAACTAACAACTGAAATTTAATCTAGTGTATATTTAAATGACTAACGGCTACTATTGGATGCTGTTGGCACTGTCAACTTGTTATTGTATAATTGGTAATTTTATAAAACGTTTTATAACAGCCGTACGTTTTATAAATGTCGGTCAGTTTGCTAAATCTTCTTTGACATTGCGTTGTCTTGCTGATCATTTTGAAAAACAGCTTGACATTTTACAAATCGACGGATAGCGCGTGCTCCGATTGTCAAATGTTTAAAACATGTTTGATATTATGGATGAAGTATTTTAGTCGTTTTATAAAACATTCTTAAATTGTTTTAATCGATTTGTATAAACGGTGTGTTGCTAGGCGGCGATACTTTTTTTATATCACAGGGCGATCCGTAATAACTAACAACTGAAATTTAATCTAGCGTATTGTAGATTTACATTTAAATGACTAACCGCTACTATTGGATGCTGTTGGCACTGTCACTTGGTATTGTAAAATTGGTAATTTTATAAAACGTTTTATAACAGCCGTACGTTTTATAAATGTCGGTCAGTTTGCTAAATCTTCTTTGACATTGCGTTGTCTTGCTGATCATTTTGAAAAACAGCTTGACATTTTACAAATCGACGGATAGCGCGTGCTCCGATTGCAGGCCCGGATCCAGAGGGGGTGGCGATGTGGCGATCGCCACCCCCAAAGCACAACATTTTTTAAAGATCTTCAATTTCTCCAAACGACAACAGGCAGTTAGTCGATATTAATGCAAGTCCCCCTTCCTAACCTACACCTTACGTCATCAAAAAAATAACAACAACAACAACAACAATAATAATAATAATGATAAAGAAGTGCTTTGCGCCACCCCCAAAACCAGTCTCTGGATCCGGGCCTGTCCGATTGTCAAATGTTTAAAACATGTTTGATATTATGGATGAAGTATTTTAGTCGTTTTATAAAACATTCTTAAATTGTTTTATTCGATTTGTATAAACGGTGTGTTGCTAGGCGGCGATACTTTTTTTATATCACAGGGCGATCCGTAATAACTAACAACTGAAATTTAATCTAGCGTATTGTAGATTTACATTTAAATGACTAACCGCTACTATTGGATGCTGTTGGCACTGTCACTTGGTATTGTAAAATTGGTAATTTTATAAAACGTTTTATAACAGCCGTACGTTTTATAAATTGCCGGCTAGTTTGCTAAATCTTCTTTGACTTTGTGTTGTTTTGTTGCATTTTACAAATCGACGGATAACGCATGCTCCAATTATCAAATGTTTAAAATCTGTTTGATATTATAGCTGAAGCATTTTAGTCGTTTTATAAAATTTAAGAACATCTAAGGTGACAATTTGGGTAAAAATCTGCCTGAACTAAGAAAAGAGTTTTATAAAATACGAAAACTAATGATACCTACAATGAATTGTCTAATTGGGTTAATCCTCTCATTATTTGGAGATAACATGTTTGTAACACCCAAATTTATTAAATTATTGAAAATTTAGAGGATAATAAAAATATTTTTATTAATTTATAACGAATGATACTGTTAATTTTCTTAGAAGGTAGTTAGGGTAATTTATTTAGTAATATTCGATAATTCTATTATTTTTATTTATTAGAATTGTCCCTTTTGATCATTAAGTTCAAAGGCAAGAGGTCAAGATTCTAAAAAAAATTTATTCAGTATTATATTGTTCAGAAAATTAATTTTTTGTAAATCTCAAATATATATCGCAAGTTCCAATAGCATAAACATTGTTTAATAGGGTTATTTCATAGGTGAAATTATGTTATATGTCGTAGCCAGATTATAAAATCCAATGTTTTATAAAACACCAAGGCGTTTTATAAAAGGCGATCAGATTATCAAATCCTCGTTGACTTATTTTACTATCTAGTCATTTTGTGCAACGGATGATTGTTTTACAAAATGACGAGCAATGCATGGCCAGATTGTCAAATTGCCAAATATTTAAAAACATCACTTGTTTGACTTTCTTGCTGAAATATTTCAGAAGACTTATAAAACACTTAAATTATTTTAGTTGGTTTATACAACGAATTGACAGTTTTATTAATTAATTATAAAACGTTTTATAACAGCCGTACGTTTTATAAATGCCGGTCAATTTGCTAAATCTTCTTTGACTTTGCGTTGTTTTGCTGATCATTTTGAAAAGCAGCTGGGCATTTTACAAATCGACGGATAACGCGTGCTCCGATTATCAAATGTTTAAAACCTGTTTGATATTATGGCTGAAGCATTTTAGTCGTTTTATAAAACATTCTTAAATTGTTTTAATCGATTTGTAAAATGGAACGTTAATTTGATTATAAATTTACATTAAATTTTGAACGATAGATAAACACGTGTAAAGTATGTATAGTATTTCTAAATAAACCTACAATATAGAGTATGTCCCACGACGGTGTCCTATAAAAAAGTTTTATTTGTAAAGTTATAAAAAATTTCATTATATATACAAATTCATGGTAGCCCCGGTATATAGCGTATTAAATTAAAAAAGTTAAAAGGGACTACAAGCAAATAACCCTCACTTTTTGAAATGCCGAAAAAAGTCACTAAAAGTAATACCAAAATTGATTAATAAATGAAAATTAACTAAAATTCAATGTATTTAGATCAGGACTTCTAGGAGGCCATAAATATTTCCTGCTTCGTTGCTGTTGAGTTATTGAAATACTAGATACTTGGTACGTATTATAACCTTAAAATTCTAGAAATTTTCCAATATCCCAACATCCTGCAATAAATATCAGAAAGCAATACCTATCATTTCCAAATTTATAACACTAAGCCACATTTCATAATTTGAAATAATACATCGATAATCCAATAACGAAACAGAAAAATTTAGTAAAATATTATGAACTGAAACTCTAACTGAAACTTCGTATTTACAACTTTATTGGAATTAATAACAATATCTCTTAGTCAAACTTTTCGATATTTCCATGGATTGGAATATTTTGCATGGAGTCAGATTTAGATGAAACAAAAAAATAAAAATTTTAAGATTTTGAGTAGAAGCGAAAATTTTTATAAAAATATGTCATCATAAATTTACACATATACAGTTTTTTTTTCTTAACGATACGATTTTGGGATATATTATATATTGTATGTACGTATATTTACAAATGGTGTTATCACCATAGAATTTAATGTAAACTTGTTAATATAAAACTGTCAATTCATTGCACAAAACAACTAAAATAATTTAAGCGTTTTATAAAACTACTGTAATATATCAGCAAGAAAGTCAAACAGGTGATGTTTTTAAATATTTGACAATCTCTTTGATGCATTGTTCGTCATTTTGTAAAACAACCATCCGTTCCACAAAATGACTAGATAGTAAAATAAGTCGGCAAAGATTTGATAATCAGATCGCCTTTTATAAAACGCCTTGGTGTTTTATAAAACCACGGATTTTTAATCTGGCTACGATATAATATATAATTTCACTTAAGAAATAACCCTATTAAACAATATGGTTTATTGAGAAGTGGCCCGTGCTGTTGGAACTTGAAATATTTGAGATATACAAAATATTAATTTTCTGAACAATATAATGTTGAATACATTTTTTTTAGAATCTTGATCTCTTGTCTTTCAACTTAATGATCAAAAGAGACAATTCTAATAAATAAAAATAATAGAATTACCGAAGATTATCCCTAGCTGCTTTAAAAGAAAATTAACAATATCATTCGTTATAAATTAATAAAAATATTTTTATTACCCTGTTTTTCAATAATTCAATAAATTTGGGTGTTACAAAAATGTTATCTCCAAATAAAGAGAGGATTTACACAATTGGACAATTCATTGTATCCCAATTCAAATATAACTAATTAGTTTTCGTATTTTATAAAACTCTTTTCTTAGTTCAGGCAGATTTTTGCCCAAGTTGTCACCTTACATGTTCTTAAATTTTATAAACACTTGTACATTTTTTGTGTTTTAATTACCTACGCTATTAAACCAAATTTTATTATAGAAGTAATTACTAAAAATACCATGTTTTTAATACTACTTCTACTAATACTGTCATTATTTAAATTATAATTAACTAAATATTGCAATTTCTTTTTTCAATATTAAAAATGTTTTCACTATTTTAACAAAAAATCGAGAACTATTTTTTGTGGTTAGAGAAAAATATTGACGCGACGGAACATTTTTGATGGCTTCGTCGTCCTCAACGGGTTAAAATACAGGGGAGTGTCATACTCTGTTAAAAAGTATATGAAAAAAATTTTGTGTCTGCCTGTGTTATCTATTCCTATTTGAAAATCTGATATTTTAAAGAAATTGAATTAGCTTTATCATACAAACATTTATTAAATCTTATGTTTAAGAGATAGTTTGATTATTATTTATTTGATGAATATTTAAACTTCAATAGATTAAAACGTGCTAACAATAAATCATGTCGATAATCAATAGGTTTTATTTTTTAGGTATAGCCTTTCCGAAGTCAGTTGAACATGTATAAAAACGCCTATCAATAAAATTTAGTAAGTTTCATGGGCGTTCCTAAAAAAGTTTTCTACTAAAGGTAAAAAATAATAAAAATATATAACGTGTAGAAAATTTCTTTATATGTTTATATAAAGAAATATTATAGATATAAGAAGGATATATAAGAAGTTTATATATTAGATTTATGTCCTCAATTTTCTTTATAAAAATTATAAATTGTCTCGTCATGTCATCGATATTTTTAAATTTTTGTTTTCGCTTTCTCTTTACGCAATCTATAACACCTTATTTAACAACATGGAAAATTGTGGACACTTAAACTTTAGTTAATATGTGAATTGTATTTATAATTCCATTATTTAGTTTTTTTTTCTTCCATTTTTAAATAATCGTAAATATTGAAAATGGGACGCTGACATTGAACATGTAAATTTTTATTTTTTAATTCTAAATCGGTTTCATCAACAACCGGTTCTATTAATTCAATATTGTCTGGCGATATTTCGTTTTGTTCCGTTTCAAAAGGTCTCCAAAATGTTGTGTTGCAATAATATTAGTAAACAAAATATCCCTCTTATTTCTCCCTTTCACAATTATTGTAATATGAATGATTAATAGAAGGTGCCTATAATAAATTAAAATTACCTGAATCACACCAAATTTCACATTGCTGCACTGCACTGCTAGGCAATTTGTCGACAACTGAAATTTATGGCTGGTCGCCCAATCCGGCTGTGTTTGTTTGCCGTTTGACCGCGCGCGCATTCTTCAATTGGGCGACCAGACCTGTATATGGGTACGGCTAAATAAATATGGTAACATGTTTTTCAAATATTCTAATGCCGAGTTGTTGCGTAGCGACCGAACCTGGTACATACCGTCAAGCTATTTGGTCTTCAAATGAGATAGGAAAGACTAGGTGAGGAAACACAAAAATAATTCCGTGGCCTTGAAATTTGAACAAACGGTTGCGAATTATTTCAAAAGACCAACATTTTAATTCAACGGTTTAATTATTTTTTATCTTAAACAGAAAATTGTTTGACATTTAATGTAAACCAGTTATATCAAACTATCACTTTACATATTTCACAAAACGACTTAAACCTGTAAAATGACGGAACAATTTCAGTTAGACTGTCAAACAGGATTGGTTTTGAACAGGTTTGGTTGGTTTGACTACGTGGTAGTAGATTTTAGATTTTGTAATCTGACAGTTTTCTCTGAATATTTCAAATATGTCCAAGTGTGGCATAGTCAGGAAATAAAACTTATACCTTTACCGACTAAGTACCTACCATTTTTTCAAAATGTACCAACTACAAAATTATTATTACTGACCACTTTGCTTCAGGTCTGGTTCCAAAACCGCAGGGCCAAATGGCGCAAACGCGAGAAAGCCATGGGACGAGAAGCAGTGCCCTTCATGCACCCAGGGGACCAACCCGGCATGGCAGAGTTTCCACTGCACGGAGCAATCGGCCTACCGCCCTTACCCAACGAACACTTCTGGCCGACTCTACCCTACCCTCCCATGCTGAACCCAGCGCACCTGGCCATGTGCTGGCCTCCGAAGAACCCTTTCCAAGCGATACTCTCGCAGTACTTCATATCCGGAGCCGCGCCGCAACTCAATCTTCTCGGGGGACACTTGCCAGAAGAGAGATCAGGGAGTTCAAGTCCTGAAACCGCCAGTCCCTCGCAGCTGTCGCCAGCGACTCTGGAAGCGCTCAGGATAAGGACTCAGGAGATGTTGCTGCCTTCTGGATCGCAGCAGAAGCTGCACGCCAATTCCTAAGTTTGTTTGTAAATAGGACGTTTTTTTTTTTGTAAATATTGTTTATTTATTTGTAAATAGTGGTTACGTTTTTTGTACATAGCGATATATTTATTCCTAACAGACATAGCTCATAAAGTTAGGTGAATTTGGCTTTTTTTGGTTTTGAATAAGCTTTATGGCTGCAATCTTTTGTTACTTTTAAATATGTCAGGATGGGTGCACGAAAAGAACTGATTTGGTGATGGGATTATAATGTTTATAGTATAATATTAGGTAGAATGGTGCAAATACTTAGTTTTAGTTTCAATTCAGCTGTTAGAACTGACGAGAGTTGTATAAAATTGGACTTATAAAATTTAAATGATTGTGGTGTTTGGGTTTAATAAAAAAATACCAATAAATTTTATTCTCAAATTTAAGTAACTCTTTTTATTCCTCTGAATATTACTTTGTTCTTTGGAGATCCTGAACATCAGAAGAGGAAAGTGATAGATTAAAGTCTATATGCACTGTGTCCCAAGATGATGGAACAAAATTCATATTTTTGTTCAGTTCAGATTTTCAAAAATTGCTAAACAGGTCAATTAGTAAATAGAAATTGTCCCTTTTCTGAAATATTTTCTATTTTCTTTGAGCCATGTTTGACAGACCTGTAACATTACCAACATTTTTTTTAAATAGGATGGTCTGTACTTTCTAGTATAAACAGTTAGCCCTTCTATAGACGAATTCAGCGATATAAGGTTATAGGGACCTACAAAAAATTAAAAGGTCAAAAGGATTTCAAAAATTTTTTCGTGATTTTTGACAGACTGTGTGGTTTAGGTGAAGAATGGTTATATCGGGAATTGAAAAAAAGCATTTTGAAGCTCTAAGACTAGTTTTTAGATCTTTCGGTCGAAATTTCGGTCGGTTATCATGCAATTCTAAGAAATAGCGTCCACGAACTTGGAAAAATTTTTTTCAGCGAAGCTATTGCATGGACCAGATAGCTTGTTTACTCAGCTTCAATTTCCTTTTTTTAAATTTCGATACTACCATTTTTCATCGAAATATCTGACTTTTAATGGAAAAGGATCCTTTTGTCTTCAATCATCGATTTCTTGGCGACAAATGGTCGTGTAGAGAATTGAAGGGCAGTTTCGAAAACTGGAATAAATTTCCTATAACATGCTGCCGCAACTTTTCGGAAAATATTTTTTTTCATCTCTTACACGAATTTAAAAAACAGGAAAAAAGGCTAATTTATGTTTTTTTTAAAAATTGACGGCTGAATTAGAAATATTCACGAAATGACTAGCATGACTTTTACAGTTTGATATACCCAGAAGAACCCTGTGAAGTTTCACCTCGATCTAGCGAACCGTTTCATTGTTTCAAACAGTCAAACTTTTGAAAAAAATTAAAGGTACACGTTTTTTGAACTTAAACACTTCCTAATCATGATTAAAATGTCAAAAAAATTTTTTTGAGGTTTTCTCACATTTTTACCGCAAATAACTTTTAAATTGATGACAAAACTAGAATCTTAAAGCTTCAAAATGCTTTTTTAAATTCCCGATACGACCATTTTTCACCTAAATACAGTCTGTCAAAAATCATGGAAAAATTTCTGAAATTCTTTTGACCCTTTAATTTTTTGCATTAGTTTAATTGTAAAAAAAATGGAAAAAAATGTTATTTATGACGTACTGACGACTATTTTAAACAATCATAGTCTCTTCTGTACTTTAAAAACGTGCCTACTCTTTATTAATGTTTTTCTACTTATTTTCAAGCTTTTTTTTCTCAAAAAAAAAGACATCAATGAACACATAAAATTCACCAGAGTACCTCAGGTATAACGTGAATAGTTTTAGTTCCAATTCATTCGTTGTTAAATTATTTTGAAAAACAACCGTTTTTCAAAATAATTGCCCGTTTAAGCGAAAAACAGAGAATTGAAATTTTAATTATGTGGAGATAAAATCCGTAGTCAACATGAGGTATGTGACTTATTTCACCATAAGCATTCAGACCAGAGAATTAGTCGAGCTACAATAAGTAAAGTATCCAGAAAGTTTGAACAAACCGGAAGTATAAAAAATTTACCTGGATCAGGAAGACGAAGAACGGTCAGCGAAAATAACCGTCAAAATGTCATGCTCGCCGTTACTGAAAATCCTCACTTATCCATTAGATCTATATTAGCCAACTTGAACTTGTCGAAGTCCTCAGTTCACAGAACTCTGAAGTCTTAAAAGTGGCATCCTTACAAAATTAATGTCTTGCAATAACTATGGGTAGGTTACAGTTTTGGAGGAAATTAGAAATTTATTTGAAAGATAACCCAACTTAAAAAATCACATAATTTTTATTGACGAACTTTTTGCTTAAACGGAATCGTGAACAGGCAAAATAGTAGGTTTTGGAGTCCAGAAAATCCACATAACCAACGTTCATTTTATGTTGTCACAGAAATTGCTACAAACTAACATTAGAAAATATCTTTTGTTGGTCTCTCAATTCAAAGGAATTATTAAATTATATTATTAAAGTTAGCTTCATCTATGTATTATTAAGTATTTCGTTTACAAAGTATCTCTCACCTCTAATTTTTGCTGAACAATTGGTGCGATATCCTACAGACCGTCCGTCGCTTCATGTAAACAAAACTGATAAAAAGGTCGATGTGTTTTCCAGCTATTAGTAATCAGGGAATATTTCGACCACAGACACGATTTTATGTTTTGTCCTTTCTTAAAAATAAGCAAGAGACACATTTTCCGCAAAATTCTTCGCTTTTTCCGCAAAATGCCAATCGTTTGTACACCAAATCATATTTTGAAATTCATTTACATTAAAGGTCACATGTTTTTGTCATGTCACTGCTCATTATAACAATCTACTAACGATTGCTANCCTTTTTTAAAAATAAGCAAGATTCGCAAAATTCTTCGCTTTTTCCGCAATATGCCAATCGTTTGTACACCAAATCATATTTTGAAATTCATTTACATTAAAGGTCACATGTTTTTGTCATGTCACTGCTCATTATAACAATCTACTAACGATTGCTAACTGATGATTAAATGTAACGAATTACTTTTTATATTTGTGTGTTATACAGGGTGATTCATTAACAATAGGAAAGTCGAAAGTTGAAGATACTACACGTGAAATTGTGACCATTGGCGCAAACATGCCTTATCCGAAAGTTAATAGTTTCGAAAATACAGGGTGTTGAAAGTTAAAATTTGAAATCGTTTTTTTTGCGATTATTCTGAAAATATGTAGGTTAAGAACTTGAAAATTTGTGAAACTCTATTTTTTTAGGTGACGAATAAGATGCGTGTTGTAATTTTAGCAATGCTCATAGAGGGCGCCACTTACGGCCAATTTTACCGGAAATTTAGTTAATAACTTTTTATCCTGTATATTTAACATGAAACTTGATACAAAACCTGAAAGAGCTATCATTTTTCCATTAATTATGTACTCTTGTTTTATTTCGGTATCTCGATCCGTTTTCGAGAAAAATCGATTTAACGAACATTATGTTTTGATAATATGAGAAATTAAAAGGGAAACAAACCAAGTGTTTCTTCGTGTTATTACAACAATTAACAATAAAACAAAATACGTAATTACGATTTAAAGTAATTGTTCGAAGAATCCACCGTTGACACTGATATACTTTACACGTTTTCTGAGAGATCTTCGAGTTTGAAACAACATATTGAGATTGCGTCTGACTTCGTTGGCAGCGATTTGTATTCTTTGCCACAACTCTTCACACGAGCCAATAGATTCTTTGTAAACTATATCTTTCATTCGAGACCAAATAGAAAAATCAAGAGAATTGAAGTCCGGACTTCTGGATGGCCAAGCAAAAATGCTTGGATGGCCAATCCAGCGATTTGGAAAAACTGCATCTAAATATGCACGCACTGGCCAAGAAAAATGCGGTGGAGCTCCGTCGTGCATTCCTAAATAAAGTGGAACTTCTTCAAGCCGTGGAAGCATTTTTTACTTGGCCACCCAGAAGTCTGGATTTCAATCTTCTTCATTTTTCTATTTGGAAGAATCTATTGGTTCGTGTGAAGAGTTGTGGCAAAGAATACAAATCGCTGCCAATGTCAAACGCAATCCCAATATGTTGTTTCAAACTCGAAGATCTCTCAGAGAACGTTGTGTAAAGTGTGTAAATGTCAACGGTGGATTCTTCGAACACTGACTTTATATCATTATTACGATTTCATTTGTTTTATTGACAATTGTTGTAATGACACGAAGAAACACTTGGTTTGTTTCGTTTTTAATTTCTCGTATTATAAAAAGATAGTGTTCGTTAAATCGATTTTTCTCGAAAACGGATCGAGATACCGAAATGAAACAAGAATACATAATTAATGGAAAAATGATTGCTCTTTCAGGTTTTGAATAAAGTTTCATGTTAGACATACAGGGTAAAAAGTTATTAACTCAATTTTCGGTAAAATTGGTCGTAAGTGGCGCCCTCTATGAGCAATGCTGAAATTACAACACGCATCATATTCGTCGCCTAAAAAAATATAGTTTCACAAATTTTCAAGTTCCTAACCTACATATTTTCAGAATAATCGCAAAAAAACGATTTCAAATTTTAACTTTCAACACCCTGTATTTCCGAAACTATCAACTTTCGGATAAGGCATGTTTGCGCCAATGGTCACCATTTCACGTGTAGTATATTCAGCTTTCGATTTTCCCATTGTTAATGAATCACCCTGTATAACTACTATAAAAGCTCTTGATCCAGTCGTTATTTATATGGAACTATCTTTCTCCAACCAAAAATTTCATACTGAAGAACAAGTAAAGAATAAGTTTCGAAAATCAATTTGTAAATAAACTGTCAAACCTACTGAAATAGAAGCGACATTTATAGTTTTGGGTTCACTTTAAAAATTTTAACTACCTACGTATTTTTTATTTGCTTTCCTTTTTCAGTGAAAAGGTTGCGAAATGCCCAAATTGTGAAAATTTTATCCAAGAACTATTGGTTTAGCTTTATTAATACAAAGTAACAATAAATCTTCTTTAGAACTAATGTATAGCTTTATATTACATGATTATTTAAAAA